GGCCTAATAAAATTTTAAGCAATGAGTATTTAAAAATTTTAGCGTACAAATATGTACGCTTTACGGTTTAAGGGATACCTAACAAAAGATCAGTAACATTGTAACGTATAAAGGTGCATATCAAAGAAAAAAACATTAATAAGGATAAATGAACTATATAATATAATGGGTAGTCAAGATACGACAATACCGGTATATAAAGGTGCCGAAGTTGACGATATTGAAGATTTTCTCTTTGATTATGAGGGTTACGCCAAAGCAAAGAAGTATGACGAAGAAACTACATGCTTTAGGGTATACATGCACATGCCCGAAAGTTCAAGAGCATGGGTACAAAAAATAGTACAGACAGAAAAAACATGGGACAATTTAAAAAAAGAAAATTGTAGATCAGGTCAAAGCAGAAAATGAACCAGAATTAAAGATTGTTTGATTGAAATATCTAAAACAAGGTGAAAAAGAATCTGTGAGAGAATATACGAATAGGTATAAGGCTTATGCCGAAGTTGCAGGAAACAAACTTAGAGCTGATGAGAAACGTGACTGGTATGTTCAAGGTTTGAAAGAACCATATCAATCAAAGATCGAAAGTCACTGTCCTAAGAACTATGATAAGGCAAAGAAGAAGGCGTTAGAAATGGGTGAATACAAAAGGGATAAAGACCTTAATAAGAACAATAGCTTTACAGGACCTGATGAAACGGCACAATCAAATAAAGCAGATATGGACATTGACAGTATCGTAAATAGGCTGGCGGCACTTAGCATAAATCGGGTTGAACGAGAAGAGAAGCTAAATCGAAATGAAGTTGAAGACATGGTTAAAAGTCTTGTAACGAAAACCATGATGGATATCAACAAGAAAAGACAGAGTCAACCATGATCCAACAAGCCTAGAACATGCTATCTGTATCATCAGGAAGGACACATCATTAAGGATTGTCCAAAACGGGATAAAGAAAATGTTCAGACCAACAAAGGTGTTACTTTTAATAATGCTGATGTACGTTTGGTCGAATTTACGGAAATAAAGCCTGATGAAAATGGTGAATACTTGAAAGTAGAGTTACTGGGTGATGAATTATGTGGTAATATACGAGTGTTCGGAAAAAGGAAAAGAGGTAATGATGTTAATGAAACAGCCACCTCGGCAAATAAAAGAGGAAAGATTCAAGAAGCAACATACAGAAATAAGGAAATAAACCATTACAATAATGTAATGTATATACCCTTTTCAGAATTGTCCGATGAACTCGATATCTTAAGGAAAGTATCAGGAATGGAGATAACAGTCACACTTGGACAATTGTTCAAGTGGTCACCTAAGGCCAGATCAGAGATTATGAAGGCACTAACACGTCGAAAAAGGAATGAAGTAGACGATCAAAATGTAAAAATAAGAATTGTATGTGGAATTATTCAGGACAATAAATCAAAATTGGGTGAAGTTGTACCTGTATGGACAGTAAAAGTAAATGGTGAATCAGTTAAAGCGCCAATTGATCTGGGATCACGCATAAATTTAATGTTAAAAAGATATGCGGTGAATAGAGGGTTGACGTGGAATCCTGTTGGTGGAAAAGGCCGAATGGCTGATAATAGAGTCAGTCAGTTTGTGGGCTATATACCTGATGTTGAAGTCGATATGGAGGGAATAGTTGTGAATCAAGGATTCTACGTGATGGAAACAGCAAGTTTCGACGTATTATTGGGCATGCCATGGAATGCAAGAGCACAATGCACCTTAGGCTTTAAAGGGACAGAGTATTGGTGTACAATTTCATCCAACTCAAGATCAGCATCTTTTGTAGTATCAATGGTACCAAGGAGTTGGATAGGTGAAATAAAGACGAATGATTTCGACGACGATGTTGATAGTGATTATGAAAGTGATTATGAAGAAGCTGATGATGTGATGGCGGTATGAAGAATGGAAATATGCGAGTTAGATGAGACATATAAAGATGATTCAACACAAAGAATTATCCATAAAGTGAAAAATGGACATAATTTGGAGGCGCGAGAAGTCAAACCCATAAATTGTGGAAATTTAAATGGACTGTCATTTTATGGTCGAATAAGCTATTGGGAAGCGAAAAATGAACAGAATGATGGTACCATATTGGGGAATGATACGTTTGCAATAGCAAGGCTCACAATAGAGAATAGTTCATTATTAAACTTAGGACCACTTGTTAAAAGTGAACCAATTAGGACAATAGTTATAGATCAATTAATGAAAAGGGTCTCTGAGGTTTTTGTGTATGAATTAAAAGACATAGGTAAAACGAACTTAGTCGAATATGAAGTTAGAATAGGAGATGCTATTGTTCCATCGATGAGATTACGGCCAATCAGAATAAATAATCCCGAAATGAAAATTATGTTTGAAAACCATTTAAAGGAAATGGTGGAATATGGACTATTGGAGAAAGGTTACAGTGAATATGCCTATCACTGTTTTCCTGTGCAAAAGAAAGAAGGAGGCACAGATAAAATTAGAGTAGTTGGTAATATGAAACTGCTTAACAAGTATATAATTAAAGACAGTTATCCATTGCCAGTTATTCAAGATATATTGGAACAAGCAGCAGGCCACGACTGGTATACTTTGGTGGATGCATTTAAAGGTTATTGGCAGATAGGCATCAAGGAGAAAGATTGGGACAAAGTTGCTATAGCCACATCTCTCGGCGTATTACGATACACAGTAATGTATATGGGGCTAAAGAACGCAAGCGAAACATTTCAGAGATTAATGGATCGATTACTGGATGATGAGAAATGGAAGAATGTAGCATCAGCCTATCAAGATGATGTTGGCATTTGGACCAATGGTACTATGGACCAACACTTAGAAACATTCATAGAATTAGCTGAAGTGTTTAAAAAGGCTGGCTTAACTTTTTCCGCCAAAAAGTGGTTTATTTTATTTAATGAATTGGAAATGTATGGATACGTTGTAAGTAAAAGGGGCATTAAAGTTAACCCGAAAAGAGTAGAAAAGATCAAACAATGGAAAGAACCAAATAATATTCAAGAAGTACGATCTTTCCATGGAATGGTTAATTATTATAGAAGGTTCATCGAAAACTTCAGTAAGATTGCAAAACCTTTAATTGATCTAACAAAGAAGGATGTAAAGTTTAATTGGAATTATGAACAACAAGAAGCGTTTGATATATTGAAGCAAAAATTGGCTGATGATGTCGTGTTAAAAGCTCCTAATTGGCAAGCTGCCAAAGATGGACGAAGACCGTATCAAATGTTCACTGATGCGTGTGATTATTCGGTTGGTGTTGTACTCGAACAAGAGGATGAGGATGGAAGGTTAAGACCGATATCTTTTGACTCAAGAAAGTTAAACGAACATGAAATGCATTATATGGTTACAGAAAAAGAATGTCTGGCTATTGTATTTGGATGTCACATAAATGAAAGATACATAGGTGGAACTAAATTTGATGTTTGGGTGGACCATCAGGCCCTAGAGTGGTTATTTAATAAGGTGGAATTGAAGGGTCGATTAATGAGATGGGTCTTAACGTTGCAGTCATTCGAATTTCAAGTTCGTTACAAGTCCAGGAAAAAGCATTGTAACGCTGATGCAATGTCGCGTTACCCGAATTCACCAGCAGAAAATGAACGTACTGATGACGATTTTGTAGAAAATCTCATATATAAAGTTGACTATGATTGTCAACAAATTAATGATCTACTTTCTATAAAGTACTATTTGCAACACTTGAATTGGGAAGTTAATGTGAAGTCAAGTGATCTACCTCGGTTAAAACGAAAATTGAAGAAGTATTGTTTAATAGGTGATAATTTGTACCTGAGATCTAGAAAGGGTGCTCCTCCGAAACGAGTAATCTTTGATGACTGTGAGAAGCACCAAATTATAATAGCGAACCATGAAGGTTTGAATTCTGAAAGTGGTCATCGAGGCATAAATAGAATGGCAAATATGATAAAGCTCAAGTATGTATGAGGAAAAGGAAATTTGTATAATGACGTTAAAGTGGTAGTATCAGCATGTATGAAGTGCCAACAATGTGCACAGAAATTACCTCCAGAACCAATACATGTTGTGGCAACAAGCTGGATCTTTGAAAGGATTAATATTGATTGTATTGGGCCTTTACCCCAAACTGTTGCAAGACATGAACATGTAGTCTTAGCAATTGAAGATTTAACTGGGTACGTGGAAGGAAAAGCATTAGTACATAAAAATGCTAAGAATATAGCACAATTCATTTTGGAGGATATAATTTTGCGCCATGGGTGCTTTACAGCTTTGATTTCGGACAGAGGAACTGAATTCAAAAATAAAATCATGGAGGAACTTTTGTCACGATTGAACGTAGATCAACGATTCATTGCCAGTTATCACCTTGAAGCAAATGGGCGTGCAAAACGTGTTGTGCAAAAATTTACCTGCATTATTAGGAAATTTTGTGCTGAACAACAAAATTGTTGGCATGAATACATCCGAAGTGCCATTTGGGCAATAAATACAACGGTTGGAGATTTGGGACATTCTCCTTTTCAACTAGTATACGGAAGAGATGCAATAATGCCGATTGAATTGGTAATGGAAAGCTATCATACCTTTATCTCCCGAAGTGAATGGACCACTGAACAGTTGTTGGAGTATAGAACCCTACAAATTAAAGGATTAGTTGGTGATTTGGAGAATGCACGATCAAATCGAGATGAAATGAAAGAACAGTGGAAACGATTCCATGACCGTTGGGCTTGGAAAAGAGAACCAATCAGACCAGGTGATCTTGTTTTAGTATATGATTCGACCCTAGAGACTTGTTCTCGAAAACTCGACTATCGTTGGATCGGACCCTATAAAGTAACCAAGGTAGGAAAGCATGGTCAATGTTACCTCGAGGAAATGGATGGAGCGAACTTGAGAGATCTGGTGACAAGAAATCGAATAAAGAAGTTAAAGGTGGACGAATTCGAGGAAAATATCGAACCTGGTAATGATGATGAACGATTAGGAAATATGTATGAAGAAGGAAGTGACCTTCGAGACGAAGATCACGGGGATCTAGCTCATGATGGGAATTAAATGGTAACACGTGCATCTGGTGTCGGGGCACTGATTATGGGTAACAATGTGATATGAGATTAGTGTAACGATGGGTCATAAGATGTGCGTAATCAGACATAACAATGTAAAGTTAATAATACAATAGACTATTGTTTATTGTCGATGATGTAAGTAAAGTAAATAAATATAAGGTTCGATCGTAGAGATCGAACCCACTTTTTCGAATCGTATCTTCTTGTAAATAACCAGTTCTTATTAAACAGTGCCGTACCACCTAGAGAGTGTTGGTTACGAGGGACGTTTGTAAGGTGTAGATTGGGAGAATTGCAAGTTGACAAAACGTAGCTAGTGTGAAGCGAGTGTATATAATAAATAATAAAACCATCGGGCAGTTTGAGTGTAAAACTCACTGCATTCATTAACCCCACGACAATAATCTCGCAGATTATTATCGAAGTAGAATAGGGGTTGAAAAGAATAAACATCAGGCATTCGTTAATTATCAAAAATCTGCTGAATTAGAAAATGCTCAAGAAATATATAACGTCGGACTTTGCTATATGGATGGAATTGGAATTATAAAAACTCTCTTAATGTACATTTGTACTAAATATGCTATATATTAAATCTTCTATTCACTCAAAGCCAAAACCGGGCGACGAAGTCGCCCGTACAACACATTGCTAGTTATTTTAATAATATTATTATTTTTCGGCATATTTATTTGTTATTAGCTTGCTTTTGCTGAATAAATGGATATGAAAATTTTTTTAAAATGATTTAACGAGTCTTCCTGAAAATGGTGAAGCTACAATAATTAATTGAAGTCAGTCAGATGTTAAATCGGCAAATATTTAAAGCGCACTCAATTAATTTTGTGAGAAGCTGACTGAGATGATTCACGATGAATATGTTGTTAAAATAGGAACATTTCTATTGTTTATTACAATATTGAATATGAATTAAGGGTGTTCTCAAGCGTCATTCTGATGTGATTAGCAAGTGATCGCAATGGCATTCAAGCAAAATTATATTTACATAAAATTTTTATTGAGAATTCGAATATGTAATTAATGATGTAATTGAAATTTTCTCAGGCATCATCTTCGATATGATTAATTAGTGATCGTAATGGTACTCATTTAATAATAAATTCTAATACTAATGCGCATATTGCTTTAAAACAGTGTGATACTGCATAACAATACTTAATAAAATAAATGTAATATATTACATATCTTGCCCCAAATATACATCAATAAGTTAACTTTCATTTTAAATTAAACTGTTAAGTATAACGATAATAAAATATATAATTAATTGGAATTAAACCAGTATATCTTTCCTTGAAAATTACGTTATGGAATATCACGTGTAGAAACGATTGTATTATTTGCATATATTTTATACATTAAAATTAGATAAATAGATTTGTGTTTTTGTCATATTATAGTCAAAATCTTTTCAAAGACAAAAAAACGAAGCACATTATACTATTATCAAATTAACTGAAATTATATTTTTTAATAATGTCTAGTAAGTACATTTAAATAACTTTGTGTTTTATGAGATATAATGATAACTGAATTTACTCTAGACCAAGAACGAGACGGCTGGGGTCCCCCACCGGAACACCCTCCATTCGAAGAATTACTCAAAGCAAAAGAAGACGCCTGTAATTTGTGTTATTTAGGATTTTGTAAAAAAAATGACCATATTATATGGGGTGCTATTATGCATTGGAACTGGGACGATATTCATTCAAACATATATTTATGGTGTTCTGTCTGCTCAAAAAATAATCACAATACTAGTGATTGTAAATTTAAAAAAGCAATAGAAATCGAAAAAGAAAAATTTATATGCAGCAAATGTTCTAGAAAATTTAAGCCAGTATTTCATTATCATGGTGAAAGGTGTCCTCTTAAATGGAATAATGAATGGGCAAATAATTTTGAGGAAATTGATTTTTAAATTTTATTTGTTTGACTTTTAACGAATATTATGTTATATTACATTTTTATATTACATAAAGATTCAAGAAACGACTTTTATTTCACACTAACCTCTACAAATAAAAAATTATCTATATATAAAAAATTCTGTTAAATATAGCAGGTTTTATTGTAAAGTACAATTTTCACTTTCTTGTGATATCACAGAGATTGAGCCACAAAAATTTTTTCTAGTCGGAATAGAAAAAATAAAGATATTGAATTGTTGAAAGTCGGTTACAAAAATAATGAATCAATTGGTGGATTATTATTTGCTTTTTTTAAATAGTAAAATATACTAGACTAGAGTTTGAAATCTGGTTTATTTTTTGTGTCAAAACTAATTTTAGTTGGGTTTAATATATGAAAAATAAAATTCTAAATTATAATTATTTATTTAAATTAATAAAATATATCATACTGTAATTTAT